CCCACCCACTTCACCCCAACAAGATATGCTATTTTTAATGAGCAGTTGTGTTCAGTAACCTCACCTAATTACATGTCAGGTGCAAGAACTTACATTGTTTGGTGGTTGATCTTTTCATTTTCTCCTACCCCCCCCACCCAATAGATTGCTGGTGGTTGAATGTCCTTTCACCTTCACTTTCCCCCTGAAAGTGTGCAAGTGAGTGCTAAGTGCGCAAGTGAGGTAAAGTGCGCAAGTGAGGTTATTTGGGGGTGCGCAAGTGAGTGCTTGGCCGATCTCACCCATTTCGTAGTACAGGAGAGCTCTTTGATGAAGGGTCTACCAACCATTGCAAGTTGGTGCATGTGTTGTTCCGGGTCCAGCATCACCATCGACACTTGGTGCTGATGGAAGAAGAATAGTGCATACCCAAGGTCTGTTGTTGTCAAGCTTGAACCGGGTAAGAGTTGGACAGGCGAAGCAACGGGAAATCAAACAGGTACAAAGCATCATTCGCTGGTTTGCACCCCTTCTGGATAAACCAGGTTTTGAAACAGTTATCAAATGGCCTTGCAGCATCAGTGAACATGAGTAGACATGTATGTGGTATTTTTTGGTGTTCCAACCTGTCATTTTCCTCGGAAAGGCTGCGCGTCTTGATGGACACCTTCCATCCCAGACATGGCTTCTCCCCCCCAGGTGGAGGCGGTTGGAGGTACCCCCCCCGCCAACAATCCCATGGACCCTGAGAGGTCTTTTCGTGGTTTTCGGGGGTCCATGTGGTCCGAATAGCAGGAGGGGTAGGTGCTGACTAAGTCAGAGCTGGGCGCATCCATGACTTTGACGTTCTTCAAACGCCCAGAGATCGAGTTTGCGCTCATCTCCGTCAGTTTTCTTTACGCCGGTGGTTACGCCGGCAGCGTCGATGGGTAGCGATCGGTGGAAGGACAGTGGATGCTTTTTCTGGTTTCGTATTCTGAGTGGCGATATTGAACACAGAGAAGCCTTCATCACCACAAGAGTTTCTCAAGGGTAATCCAGTTATCACGAAAGCTAGCGAAGCTAGCTGGAGTTACTCTTGCGATAGCAAGGTTTCTTTCGATCGGGTGCAAATCCTAACCCCTGATCTTTCAGGTCGAAGCCCTCCCCCTCCCTCTCCCCACCTCCCCTCTCCTCCTCCTTGTCTTCCTCCCACCTTCCCTCCCTCCTCCCTCTTCGCAAGTTCGACTCCGTCCTGTCGTCGCTCTTTGGCATGCGGTTAGCGTTGCGTATCTTGCGGCCGCACTCGCTCACTCTCACTCTCACTCTCACTCTCACTCTCACTCTCACTCTCACTCTCACTCTCACTCTCACTCTCACTCTCACTCTCACT